CATTCCAAAAATCATGCTCACTGCCATCGAGCCAACCCTGACTCATTATGAGCACTGCATTAAGATGCATATTAAAGTGCCGGGAGAAGCTGTAGGCCTCCAGGACACTTGATGTGGGGCCCTTTTAAAGACGAGTGAGTAAAGTGAAAATGCCCATCCGAAGTGACATCTACAGTCCAAGGAAGCTATAACCCACCCCTAAAGCACTGTAATGGAAAGAAAAAAAAACCAGGTGAAATGTGACCAGGAGCGGTCAGGCTCAAGTCATAACACCTACAAGTGAAGGGCTATTCCCTGATTCAGTGTACCACAACTGCACACTCACTGTGCAGGGAAAAAGTTGTGATGGATGTCCATTTGGGGAGAAGTTGAGCTGGAAGGAAGCAAGCCAAATGCAGTTCATTTGGGGAGCTAAGTAAGACAAATAGTGACCTTGCTGTGATCTGAAAAGTCTCCCCACCAGGGCCATCCGAGCAAAGGAAAGCACAAGTTATAGCCTGACTCTCTGCCTCGGTGCCTCAGTGCCCTGGGCTGGTCGGTGGTGGGAGGAGCAAAGTGCTCTGAGTTTTGTCATTGACATGTTGCTAGTGCATGGATAGCCAAAGGCAGACACTGATGTGAGCCACATGCTTCCTGTGTTATTGAATATATTTTATATGGTGGCATCTCTGTCTGATGGCATCCATTGCCAAAGCTAATCAATGCACAACGTGTAAATGAGTTTGCAATTCATCTGTATAATACAATTTAATTGCAAGTTTTAAGAGATTTGCTAAGTGCAATGTGCTTCCTAGATTGAAACCATTCACAATTGAATGATACACACTCTTTGTCTCTCTGGCAGCCCAATGGAGAAAAACCTTCCCATTGTTGCACACGCTATACTTCGCTTGAGGGCTGGTACTGTGTTGAGACCCTAGAAACAACCACCTGGTATTCGCCAGTACTAGAGAGATAGTAGCCCCATCTTCCATTTTAATTTGACATGTACTCAATTGACAGTGAGGTCTTTTTCCCAATACTGTATTCAAAGGTTCTAATTCAGCGGTTCTCAACCTGGGGGTTGCAACCCCTTGGGGGTTGAATAATCCTTTCACAGGGATTGCCCAGTTTATAACAGTAGCAAAATTACCAAAAAATAGACTTCAGAGACAGAGTGTGGCACCCCATAATCCTTGACTGGGAAGCACTTGTAAAGGCCAGCAAACAGACCTTGAACTATATATAGGTTTTTCCATTTTTGTTAGTGACTTTCTTTTGGTTATTGTTATTTTGGTTTTGGTTTTGCTTGGTTGTTGTTATTGTTTTGTTGGTTTTGACTTCCTTTGTTGTTGTTGTTTTTGGCTTTGCCTGGTTTTTGCACTTAATAATATATCTGCATTATTAAGGCAAGATAAATAATTTGGAGATGAAAATAAAGGGACCAATGGTTCTGGGGTGGGGGTGGGGGATACGGGAGACGGAGAGGTGGGAGAAAGGAAGGGGTGGGGGATGAACCCAGGGACAAGGGAACAACAAGTGAACTAAAATCAATGGAAGGAAGGTTGTAGGATGTCTAGTGGGGCTCAATCAAAGGCCATGTAGCAGGCTGAAAATGATGGTGGGACAAGAGGGAAGTAAAAAGGAAATAGAAGAAAGAACCAGGGGGCAAAGGACATTTATAGAAGCCTAAATACAGCATGTACTTATGTAAAAATATATAATGAGAGGGGAATAGAACTATGTACTCATATCTATATGTTAAGAATTAAGGTTGTGCCTAGCTATCAAAAGATATAGTGTCTGGGGTCTTAAAAGCTTGAAGGTAAACAAGCGGCCATCTAGCTCAGAAGCAACAAAGCCCACATGGAAGAACACATCAGCCAGTGTGATCACGAGGTGCCGAAGGAATCAGTTATCTGTAATCAAAGAACAAAAAATCATATCATTGTGTGCTCACCTCCATGATATGATCGCTGAAGACAAATGGGTGCATAAGCAAATGTGGCAAAGAAAGCTGATAG